GGAAGCTCGAACAATTTTTGAAAGCACGAACAATTTTTGAATGTTGAGAACAAATTTCGAAATGGAGAACAAATTTAGAAGCGCGAACAATTTTTTAAAGCACGAACAATTTTTGAATGTTGAGAACAAATTTTGAAATGGAGAACAAATTTGGAAGCGCAAATTTGAAATGGGAAGATTTTTTGAAACTCCCAAACATAATTTGAAATGTGAACAAAAAGAAAAAAAAAGAGAAGAAAAAGGAATTGAAAGATGAAATAAAGAAACAGAAAAACAAAGAAAGAAAAAGAAAAAACATGAAAAATAACAAAGAAAAAGCAAACAGAAAAAACCAGTGAAAACCCGGTTCAAGAACCTTCTAGAAGGTTCCCAAAACCGTTCAGGAACCCTCCCAAAACCGGACGCTGCAGCGCTAGCGCTACCTCCTAACTGGGCCGGCCCATCTAGATCGCTATCGCTAGCTCTCTCTGTGCGAAGCCTCGACAAGTCGACGCAGCGAGCGTCCAATAGGATTTTCCCATCATGCTCGCCACGGCGCGAGGGGTAACCAAAGCTTCGAGACGCTTCTGGGCCCATCCCACCACGGCCCACCGCAAAAGGACTTCCTAGACGGCCAGTTTTCTCAACAACAAAAAAAGAGAGAGAGTAAGACAGCCAGTCCACGGCGGAAGGGAGACAGGGGTTTCCGCGGAGGCGCGGCACGGCCGCGCCGGGTGGTCGGCGGTCGGCGGGTCGCCGGGAACCGCGAGGGTTGAGGGGCGAGCGTTCTTCTTTTTCCCGCGGCGAGCTGCCCGCCGGACTCTGCGATGGGCATCTCTCTCCAACTTGAGGTAAGACCCGCGATTATCACCATCGTTGTCTCAGCTACTTCTAGTTTTTTTTTATTGAGAGACATAATTGGCTGGTATGGAACATGGTAATCTTTCTCTTATGCCGGTGGTTAATATTACGGTATACTTACGGTACTAGCTTTCCGGTTCATGATTGGGGATATATCACTGTGTCCAAGGCTTGCCCCCTAGATAATGCAGTTTCCCCCTGTTTTCAGCGAGAGTTTGAGGATTCAGGTCGACTGTTAGCTGTATGAATCCCCTGTCATAGTCTTCTTTGATTTTAGCCTGTAGACATGGCATGTGTATTGTTTTGTTTTGGCCGTGAGATTTAGTGGGAAAATGCAGTGTACACTCTACAAGACTAACTTTTCAGGTTTGCAGCCGGAGTTTGATCCAGGCCGGTTTTTAACTTTATGAATTCTCTGCCATTGTCTTCTTAGGTTTTAGCCTGTAGACATAGGCTGTGCATGATTTAGTTTTGACCATGATTTAGTAGGAAACGCATGGTACACTGTACTAGACTAGCTTTTCTCTTTTCATTTTTTTTCCGAAGGTAACGGACACTGTCAGATAGGATGAATTTTTCTGATGAAGAGAAGAATGTAGATGGGAAGTCCAACTGTACTTTCTTGACAACTAATGCTAACATTGGAAATAATCAGAAAGACAAATGCGCGAGATAAAAACATTTCAGAAACCATAGTTACTACTCCCTCCGATCCCAAAATAAGTGTCTTGGTTTTAGTTCAAACTAAAGCCGCGACACTTATTTTGGATTGGAGGGAATATTATTTAGGACATACAAAGGTGTCTGTATATGTGGGTAAACCATAGCGCATTTTAAGCCAAGAGGTGAAAGCATACACAACTCCATAAGAAAGTCAAGATCAATGGGAGATAATTCAGCATGCCACTATCAGATCTTCTGCACTTCGGAATCGCATTCAGATCTTCACTGTGTCAATGGCTAGTGTCCCTTTTGCAAAAGTTTTGAATATCTCTGCTATGTAGTCTTTGGTCTTGATCTTCCTGTACCGCCTTGGGTTTTTCTCATCCACCAGCTCTGGCACTGGCTCAATCTCCCTCTCCGGATCCATTGCATAGAACATCACCAAAGACAGCCGCTCTTTCTCTGCATTGGTCACAACCCTGTGAACCGGACTCTTGAAGAACCCATTGCTCATTATCTGCATGCATCAGAGGAAATAGAGAGATTTGTAGCTTAGATTAACTGTCCACTTCACAAGAACAAACAAGTTTTGCAACATCCTACACACGTGTACCTCCATCACATCTCCCATGTTCACAAGTAATGCATTCAGAATAATTGGTACACTGTACCAGACACCATTTTTCTGCAGCTGGAGCCCACTGATGTTATCATCGACGAAGACAATTGTGATCACCGTGGCATCAGAGTGGGGCTTCAGGCCAAAGACTTGGTCCGGGTTGGGACAGTGAGGGTAGTAGTTAAACCTGGCGTGTGTAATGGTATTCTCAGCGAGCATGTTGATGAAGTAGTCCTTGTCTAAACTGAGCAGCTTGGCCAGGTTCTTGAGGACAAGGTTGGTGATCTCCCTGCACCTGGCTGTGTACTCACTCAGAATATCTCTACAGAAATATGAATGATCAGGCTTAGTCATGGATACTCACTAACTGAACTTCTTTTTACGATGCAGATTTATCCTGGTAAAAGCCTGGAGTACCTGAAAGAAGGAGGTTGTGTTGGCCATAAAGTATAGATTCTCTGAGACTCAGGTTCCACTACGAGATAGAACCGGTCACACCAGTCCAAGATCTGCTTCTCTGATATGACCATGTCGCTCCCATATCCTTCCATTCTGAACTCCTTGCCATCCACAACGTTTGAGTACTTCTGCTTCTCTTCCAGTGGGAGTTTGTAAAATTCTCTTGTCACTTTCATCACCTCACCAAGAAAACTTGGCTCCGTCCCATGTCCGACAGCCTGGCCAAAGATCGATCAGAAATCTTGATTCGATAGGTTAAAAAATATACAACTAAATTTATCATGAAAAGATTACTAGGAAGAGGCCCCAGTTCTCCAAGGCAGACCTCAGCTTGACATTCTCATCGGCGCTGTTGTCAGTAAGATAGACGGCTGAGATCAACAACGGGGATGGGCTCAGGCATCTCAGAACCAGCCACATCGGGGCGGTCTTGCTCGGGAACAACGTATCGGCTTGGTGGCTCCTGCACACCGGTTACCAGCTCTTGCACAATTCGTGGTATCTCGACAGTCTTTGATGGTTGGCCGTCAGCCATGGTTGCTTGTTGCTGCTCTTAGTTTTGAGCTCCCTTGTCCCATTGGCAGTTTTTATGGGCATGGGTTTTGATACTCCTTTGTGATTCTCTGGACTCCCTTGTGGACATCATGGTTATCACTTTGTTTTTTGTCTTTGTCTTTCTCCCACATATCAATTGGGGTAAGTACAAACCGGCGAGTATCACGATATACACACAATGGCCTGAATATAACATAATAGTGAGTACTGCATTCATATATGATGTCCTCATATTTCTCTTAGCTGAGGTGTTTCATCCCTTCTACAGTTTCTTTTGTTCTGTTAAGTTTGTTTAGGATCACCCTCGTTAAAATAGAATTAAAAATTGGCACTTTAAGAAAACATTCCCGGTGAGATTAAGTGTCACCATGGGTAGTTGAGCACATGACACTAGGTACTAAAATAAGTATACATGGTTGAGAGAACCAGAGTTGGATTCCCACCAACGACGTTTTCTTGTATGGGCTGTCCATTATTATATTCTTAGATTTAAACCTGTTAACATGAAAATTTGAAACAAATGGTAGTTAATTAAATTTATTAGCCAATTTTCCCCCTTCAACAGATATCTTACATATGGTTCATATTTAACTTGCTGAAATGGATAGCACATCATACTGAACTTACATTTTTCTGCATATTTCTTCTACATAGGAGGGGCCACAGAAGAATATAACTGTAATTCAAGGTCAGGCTAATGTATTTTTTTATGAACTTGACAAGGATGAAAGATCTGTTTGAGTAGATTTATCAGTGACAAATAACCTGAAACCTTTGATATTTATGGCCCGTGGGCAAAATTCCGCTCAGCCTCTGGTGAACTATTCAGTTCTCACTGAATCATGTTCATACCTTCTACCTGGAAATGATTATCCTGGTCTGGTATGTCTTAGTTGTTTTTTCTATTTCAAAAGGTGCTTTGCTTAGGTTATTGTAGTTTTACTATTGTTGCTGAGGCAACCAAATTGCATAGCAAGAACGAATTTGTGGATGTCATAATCAGCATGGTGAAAACAAGGAAGACAGTAAACCAGAGATGGAAAGTGATGTAGAACAACGGGGTAAGAACTGAACTAAACAAACAGATATGAAGTTGTCTGTAGATGGTTATATAGGTGATACATCATAGCACATTATTTTTAGAAGGTCGAAGCATAAACCAACTCCACGAGAATAGTACATATCGCTGGAAGAAATATCACCACACCGCAATTAATCTTCTACACTTCAGAACCACGTTCAGATCTTCACTGTGTCGATAGCTAGTGTCCCCCTAGCAAAAGTTTCGAAGAGTTTTGCTATGTAGTCATTAGTTGTTGTCTTCCTGTACCGCCTCGGTCTTTTCTCATCCACCAGCTCTGACAGTGGCTCAATCTCCTTCTCCGGGTTCATCGTGTAGAACATCACCAAAGATAGCCGCTCTTTCTCCACATTGGTCACAACCCTGTGAATCGGGCTCTTGAAGAATCCATTGCTCATTATCTGTATGTGTCAGATGAAGTAGCAAGATTTACAACTCAGTTTAAAGGGGCAGCCCCAGTGCATGTAGCTCCCGCTTGCGCAGGGTCTGGGGAAGGGTCCGACCACTTTGGGTCTATTGTACGCAGCCTTTCCCTACATTTCTGTAAGAGGCTGTTTCCAGGACTTGAACCCGTGACCTCATGGTCACAAGGCAGCAGCTTTACCACTGCGCTAAGGCTCCCCTTCATTTACAACTCAGTTTAACTGTCACAATTTTGCAGCTTCTCACACATACGTACCTCCATTACATCTCCCACGTTCACGAGTAATGTATTCGGAACAATGGGTACGTTGTACCAGACGCCATCTTTCTGAAGCTGGAGCCCGCTGACATTATCATCGATGAAGACGATTGTGATCACCGAGGCATCGGTGTGGGGCTTCATGCCGAAGACGTGGTCCGGCTTCAGACAGTTAGGGTAGTAGTTTAACCTGGCGTATGTCAAGGCATTCTCGTCGAACATGTTGACGAAGTAGTCCTCGTGTAAATCTAGTAGCTTGGCCAGGTTCTGGAGGAAAAGATTGGCGATCTTACGGCACCTGACTGTGTACTCACTCAGAATATCTCTGCAGAAATCTTCACGGTCAGACAACTACGTACGTTGGCTACTCATCGGTCGACACCCATATATACCGTATGAAGTACAAGCCTGAATGGTACGGTACCTGAACGATGGAGGCTGTGTTGGCCACAAGCTGTAGATTCTTCGATTCTCAGGTTCCACTATGATGTAGAGGCGGTCACACCAGTCCAGGATTTGCTTCTCTGACACGACCATGTCGTTCCCGTAACCTTCGATCCTGACTTCATTGCCGTTCACCAAGTTCGAATACTTCTGCTTCTCTTCCAGTGGGAGCTTGAAGAATTCCCTAGCCACTCCCATCACCTCACCAAGAAAACTTTGCTCCATTCCATGGCCAACAGCCTGGAGGAAGATCGATTAGAAATCTGAAGATGGGAAAAAACAAAGAAATCAGGGAGAAAACTTTACCAGGAACAGACCCCACTTCTCCAAGGCGGACCGCAGCTTGGCAACCTCATCAGCACAGTTGGCAGACAGTCGGCTGAGATCGATGATGGGTATGGGATCGGGCATCTCAAAACCAGCCGCGGTGGGCCGGTTCTGCTCAGCGATCACATACCGGCTCGGTGGCTCCTGCATGCCGGTCGCCAGCTCCTGCACGATCGGGGGTATCTTGACTGTCTTCCATGGTTCTGCATCAGCCATGGTTGCTTCTTACTGCTGTCGATCTTGCGCTCTTCTTTATCCCTGCTTTGGCTGATTTATGGGCATGGATTTGCAGAAGGTAAGTAGTGGACGACACAGAGGAGTGTGTTGATTTTCAGCCGTAGAATGTTGATCACTCCTTTGTCTACTTCCATAGGAGATGGTGACTTATGATGCACTACTGAGTCCCTCTGGATGTGGACATCATGGTTATTGCTTACTACTTTATCCCACGCACCAATTACCTAGAAGTACAAAATGGTCAATATCACAACATAACATACACACCAAGAGACTCCAGCAGCAAAATACTGAGTACTGCAATGCCATATATTGACACTTTGTTCGGGCTTTTTAACTTTATTAGGTTTCTTTAGTTCATTTACATTTCTCCTGTTCAAAAAAATAATAACACTTCAATCATGGCCCAGATTTTCAGCCACTTGTGCTAGTGGTCGCTGTGAATTTGTGGCTGTTCTACTCGATGAATATTGACCGTGTGTTGTGACAAAGGGCGTCTTCGCATCCTGCTAATTGAGGATTAGGGATATGGAAATTTATATGCCCAGCTATGAGTACCATCATCTATGGACGGCTTTGTAGTGTGTCCCCACTTATTTTTCTTCCTTTATACTCCCTCCATTCCTAAATATATGTCTTTTTAGAGATTCCAATATGGACTATATACGGAGCAAAATGAGTGAATCTACACTCTAAACTACGTCTATACACATCCGTATGTGGTCCATGTTGAAATCTCTAGAAAGACTTATATTTAGGAACGGAGGGAGTAGTAGTTTGTTTTACCTCATTATAGGTTTCTCCTTGTGAAAAAAGAAGTGTTTTTTCATCATGTGGGTCATCTTTCTGACAATTCAGCATTGGTTCTAGTGGCTGGTGGCTAGTCTACTTATTGATGATCGTGCAGACTGAGAGTAAGACAACTTGCTAATTAGAAACTAGTCATCCACGTTGCTTAGTGCCACTGTTTTCTACTGCTGTTTGTCTTGAGTTCCCTTGTCTCGCTTTGGCTGTTGTTTTATGGGCATAGACTTGCGAAAACGAGTAGTAGTTTATTTCAAAGGGGTATCTTGACTTTCAAGCTCGTAATTAGATCCACTCCTAACTCTTTGTCCACTTCTACAGAGACAGTTTTTATGTGCACAACTTAGTAACCCATACACTAATTGACAGTTAGTAAAAAGTACAAAGTGGTGAATATATACACCTGTGCAGTAAAATACAGAGTAATGCATGCCAACACATGCCATGTTATCTCTGTCCCCCTAGCTTGTCTTCTTATATAGCTTGTTCTGGCTTATTAGGTTTTCTTCTTGAGAAAAAAGGAGTAGCCACCATCACTCTGATCTTTTTGGTGTCTGTTGTAGTGGTTGGTGACTGGCCTACTCATTGATGATAATGTGTACTGAGACGGGATTGAGACGAAGGCAGCTACATCTTGCGTAGGGCAACATCTTCCTTCAAGAGAGCACAACAACCAAGGAGACAGAGCAGACCACCAGGATCAGCAACGAACTCCAATGGCTGATGAGTCATGGAGGCTGCCGAATTCAGTGCAGCAACTGGCTGCCAGCATGCAAGAACCACCAAGCCAGTACTTGCTCAGAGAGCAAGAACTGCTTGATGGGAACCTTGCTGGTGCCGAGATGCTGGAGCCTGTCCCAACAATCGATCTTGGCCTGCTGTCTGCATCCTACGATCTTGAGGAAGCTGCCAAGCTGCGGTCGGCGCTGCAGACCTGGGGATTCTTCCAGGTGAGTTTCTTTATTACTCCATTCTCGAGTTTCTTGTTCCTAAGATTTACTCTCTTTTTTGCATTTTTCGTTCATGCTGCACTGGCTACATTTCTGTAACACGCATCAGCGTATGTGACCAGGTTTCGAACCATGGAATGGAGGCCTCTATGATGGATTCTGTGATGACCGCATCAAGGGAATTTTTTCACCTGTCGCTCGAAGAGAAGAAGAAATGCAGCAACCTGATAGATGGCAAGTATTTCCAGGTAGAAGGGTATGGAAATGACCAGGTGAGGACTCAAGATCAGAGATTGGACTGGTCTGATCGACTGCATCTTAGGGTTGAGCCGGAGGGTGGGAGAAACCTTGTCCATTGGCCTACACATCCCAAATCTTTCAGGTAATGTATCAGCGATACTTCAAACGGATCTTTCTTTCTTGTCTGTTTTGTAGAACAGAGTTCATTTGCTGATTTTTCTCTTGAGAGATGTAACCTGACATGGACTGCAGAAATTAAACAAACTTAGTAATGTAGGCTTGGTTTAATTGGACTACATGAGCTCTGTTTGCAGGGATGATCTTCACGAATACGCATTGAAGTGCAAGAGAATCAAAGGCGACGTCCTTCGGGCAATGGCTAAGATTTTGGAGCTTGATGAAGACTGCCTCGTTAATCAGTTTAACAGCGACGCCCCCACATTTGCTAGATTCAACCACTTCCCTCCGTGTCCAAGACCCGATCTTGTCCTGGGCATCAAGCCTCATGCAGATTTCCCTGCTCTCACGGTTCTCCTCATGGACAAAGATGTCGCGGGGCTGCAATATCTTAGAGATGGAACCTGGTACAATGTTCCAGCTGCGTGTGACCACACCTTGCTGATCAACATTGGTCTTACAATGGAGGTGACCATCTCTGAACCTCAAGTAATTTTCTTCTCCCGTATGAAGTTCTTGTCTTCTTGATGACTTTCGCCTGACCATTCCTCGCGCAGATAATGACCAACGGGATCTTCACGGGGCCAATGCATAGAGTTGTGACTAATGCCGATAAAGAGAGGATATCAGTGGCCATGTTCTATGGTGTGGACCCCGAGCAAGAGATTGGGCCGATAGCTCATCTGTTAAGTGAGGAGCAACCGGCACAGTACAGGAAAATGAAGGCCAAGGACTTGTTAGTGTTGCACCATGAACATTATGCTGGAGGCCGAGGACCAAGAATTGCCGATGCACTGAAGATCTAAGTAAGATGGCTGTAGTTCCATGCTAGAGTACCCATGGAAAGTACATAGTTGGTGAACTTACAGGGAGTGAATCTGGTTAAAATGAAGAATCAGTCTAGTTTATGTTTGGTTTGTATTAACATGCTCTCTGAGCACTTTCATATTCTCTTATCTGCTCAAGTGTCTCCACCGTCCCTTCTTATACAGTACTCCGTAGCTTTTATTCTTCAAAATGCATAAACCCTATCCCTATAACATGGTGAATAATGATTTTTAGGATGTAAAAATGTCAGCACTAGATCACTGTCATGTTGTGTGAAACTGACAAAGACATGTTGGCATGCTGTACTCCATGGATGTCACCTTTTGCCAACATACTTCCCTTCAGGAATTCGGTGCGACATACGTAAATTTTTCGTTAAGTGGTAATATATGAATATTAAGTTGATACTCCTCGATCCCATGCCCATACATCATGAGCTCCGAGACCACCGGTCTATCCGGACATAGGAGGGCGGGGTGGCCGGGGTCCTTGCAGAGGTAGCAGCACTGGGGGTTGACGCAGGTGA